ACAGCAAATGAGGACGTACAGATCATAGGGTGTTTAGACAGGACATACAAGGTGACAGCTGCACAGGAGGTGCAAGATCAACATTAGATTTGAAATTAGAGAGATCCGTTCAGCAGTCTAATAACAGCAGGGAAGTAGCTGTTCTTGAATCTGTTGGTGCGTGTTCAAGCTTCAATATCTTCGGCCTGAGGAAGAGAGTGTTACAGGGTGGGAGGGGTCTTTGATGAAGTTGGCTGCCTTTCTGCAGCAACGTGTAAATGGAGACCATGCATGGGGAATTGGCTTCCGTGATGGTCTGAGCTGCATTTACAACGATAAGACCATTGAGTTTTTTATTTAGATGTTGGTTGAGGGTGAATATTGATGGGGACACTGAGGGTAACTGCCTTGTTCTTTGAAACACTGCCTTGGGATCTTTTCCCAAGATGATGGGTCCTCAGTTCAGCTGAAAAGCAGCACATCCAACAGTGCAGTTGTCCCACAGAAAGAGAGCTAGAACAAGTCCAGAGCATTATAAACAGATTGGTTTAATATTGCTGTTAGGAATGATAATGGGATCAATACAGTGTGGAGGTGGAGGAACACAGCAGGTCAGACAGGATCAGAGGAGCGGGAGAGTTGATGTTTCGGGCCTGGACTCTTCATCCAATGATAATAGGATGTTTACCCAAAGATGTAATAAATTAACATTTATTGAAAGGAAATATTGGCCTTTCTCTGTTTATGTATCATTGCAATGCTATTCCAGTCAAACTAAGGAAGAAGAAAATTAACCACTAGCGGCTCCCATAGTCATTGGAGCATTTATCCAAGTTCTGGTCTGGGGCATATCGATGCAGTTACGATGATGGTAAATTTACTGCAATGTGGATGAGGCTGAAATGGTTTAACTTTTTCATTTTCACATTGCTGCTAATGATCGGACTAAGGAAGATGGTGTTGTCACTACTGAGAGGGAACTAGGGTCAGACTCATGTTGCGAAAGTGCAATTGTGAACCAGGAAAAGTAAAGAAAGGAAGAAGATAGGTGCAGGGGGAGGAAGAGAAGGCATTCATTCATTCAATCTGATGCCAACTAAAAACCTAAACAAGGATAAAAACGCTGCTTTTATTTCAGACCTCCGCAATCCGCAGTATTTTGCTTTCATCTAAACTGCGACCTTACAAACTTCAGCTCTATTGGATGCAGTACCTTGCTGGGCCACCAGGGAAGCTGTAGGAAATAATATCCAGTGGTTTTAAACTATCCAAACCATCTCCTCACACTAACTTCACTTTTCATTCCGAGGTTGGTTAGTGACTGGTTAGGGAGGCATGGTGGCTCAGTGGTTAGCGCCTCTGCCTCACAGTGCCAGGGACATGGGTTCAATTCCACCCTCAGGCGACTGTCTGTGTGGAGTTTGCACATTCTCCCCATGTCTGTGTGGGTTTCCTCTGGGTGCTCCGATTTCCCCCACATTCCAAAGATGTGCAGGGCAGGGTAGGGTGGATTGGCTGTGGGAAATTGCCCTATGGTGTCCAGGGATGTGTAGGTTAGTTGGATTGGCCATGCTAAATTGCCCCATAGTGTCCAGGGATGTGTAGTCTAGCTGGGTTAGCCATGGGAAATGCAGGGATAAGGTATGGTAGGGTGGTGGGTCAAGTTGGGATGCTCTTTGTTGGGTTGGTGAGGAATTGATGGGCTGATTGGCCTGTTTCCACACTGTAGAGATTCTGTGACTGGGCAGCTGGTTTACACAACACTGAGAGATGCCAACAGCATGAGGCCATGCCTGAGTTTACCATGAAGGTCTCTCCTTCTCCACCTTGCCTCTCACCTCTGTAGTATGGTGATCTTCAGGTTAAACCACCACCAGTTGTCCCTCTATAATGACAGAGCAGCCCTATCATCTGATAGGACTCTAATGACTTGAGCTTACTTCCCTCCCTTCACTGTTGCTTTAACATTCTATTTTGCAGGGGTTTTTTTAGTCACATGTACTTTATCACATGATAGACTTGAGGTCTATCAGAGCCAACTTGTGCCAAGGAGAGGATTGCACAGTCACATGTGGGTCATAATCCACTCCCCTTGGTTAGTAAACCTGAATGGAAGGTATTAGTGGTCCGTGACTGTGCGGGTTTTCAATCTGCCAGTCAGCTGACACTGCCATTGGAGCCAAAGTTAAAACTCTGACCATTCTCTTCGATTCTGCTGTTCCCCAGCCACTAACTCATCCCTCTCCCCAATGTTCTGAGGCTGAACCAGACTGTTCAGAACCTCAGTGCCATATTTGTCACCCAAGGCGAGTTTACAACCATATATTCCTGCCATCACTTCCTGTGCACTTCCCTAACATTTCCTGACTTTGTCCATCTCGGATCACTCCCTGCTGAAACCCTCATTCACACTGTTGTTACTTTTAGATCTAACCATTCCAAGCACTTCTGAGTAATGTGCCATAATATTACAGTTTATCCAAAACCCTGTGTCCTTACTCACACCAACCCAACAATCAGGCTCTTTGCTAATTGCTACTGTGGTTCCCAATTAAGTAACTCCTCCATTTTAAAATTCTCTTCCTTGTTTTCAAATGTGTCCGTTGCCTCACCTATCCTTACCTCTGTCATCTATCCCAACCCTACAACCCTCCAAAATCTCTATCCACCTGAATATCACTGATGTTAGTTCTGCTGTCATTATTGGCCAAGCCTTCAGTTGACCGGGCCCTAAACTTGAAGATTTCCTTCCGCACCTCTACAAAACGTTCATTAAAATCTCTTCTTTTTAACCAAGCTTTTGGTTGTGGTCTCCAACATCTCATTGTGGCGCGGTGTTAAAATAGTTTCTGTCGTAACATTCCTCCTCTACCTCTTCCATGATCACTGCCCACGCAGTCCCTGGGAGCTCACTGCCAGAGGTACCACCTTTGGATTTGATTCATTGTTGTCATGTGTACCTAAGTACAGTGAAAAGTTTTGTTTTGCAAGCAGTACAGGCAGATCATAACATACAAACTCGTACAGATCATAGGCTGATTGAACAAAGCGAGGCATGCAGAGTTTTGGCTGTACAGGAGAGATATAAAGGCAAGGTCAACATTAGATTTGAAATTAGAGAGGTCCATTCAGAAGTCTAATAACAGCAGGGAAGAAGCTGTTCTTGAACCTGTTGGTACATGTGTTTAAGCTTTTATGTCTTCTGCCTGATGGAAGAGAGTATAACTGGGGTGGGAGGGCTTTTTGACAATGTTAGCTGCTTTTCTGCGACAATGAGAAGTGTAGATGGAGTCAATGGCTGGGAGGTTGGCTTGAGTGATGGCCCGGGCTGTTTCAGTAACATCATGATGGCCCTAACTATTACAAAATGAGTTTCCCAATGGTTCAGTAACTAACTACGTCTCACAATTATATTGTCACGCAGATTCAAAACTGGGACATAAAAGAGACATAGACTTGCATCTGGTCACAATCTGCCTTGGCATTCCGGTCACTGTGCTGAGCAGGGCTGGGCAGTGTATAAGGGATGGGTGCAAGTGGGGATGGGGACCATATTGGAGCTGGACACTAGAGTGGAGTGGCTCTAGAATAGGGAGTTTGGACAGGGACTGGAATGGGGATTAGAGTGGGCAGAAGGAGTATGAATGCAAGTTTGCTGCAAGCCTCATGTGGCACAAATGCCTTTAGTTCCAGATGCACATGTTGACAGCAGTGGCACAGACTTCCTGTCCCAATGTGGTGATGGGAGATGCAGCTTTATAACACTCCTGTGAAGTGACTGGGGATTCTTGACCCCACTGAAGGTGCTGTATAATCATGAATTGTTGTTCCTGTGTTCCCTCGACCTGCATTCTCTCTGTGAATCATCTGCCTGATACATTCTGTTACTAACTAGTTGCACACCGCTCTGAAAGGGGATCTGGGCTCTCACTGTTGGGAAAAGGCAGAAGCGAGACATTGAACCGAGCGGCAACAGTCGAAGGCTTTGATTCTCGAGAATCTTCATCAGATGTTGTCACAAAACGCAAATCACTCTCCTGTCACAGGCACTGCTTGGCCAAGCGGAGACAGAGAGAGAGGCAACCGAACTATCTGTGGCCTGAGCACACAAGTCAGGCAGGAAAGGGTATTGCTATCCTGAGAACTGTTGTTGATTTAAGATTGCTCACACTTCGCAAACTTAGACATGCCAATGCAACATGTTCAGTGTAGGCGTGATACAGAATTCGTGTGACAGAGAGAGAGAGAAAACGTATAGGTACACAAGTGTTTTATACACATCAATGGCTCAGTGCTAGCACTCTCTCTCTCTCTGTCAAGCTGCTGTCATACCAGCACAGGGTTAAAGGAGCACTGCGCTGTTTCTAGTGCCACCTTTCAGAAGGCACATTAAACCAAATCCAAATCTGCCGTTTCATAAGGATATAAAAGATCCCATGGCAGTTTTCAAACAGCAAGGGAGCTCTCCCTCAAAGATAGTAGGAACTGCCGATGCTGGAGTCTGAGATAACACAGTGTGGAGCTGGAGGTACACAGCAGGACAGGCAGCATCAGAGGAGCAGGAAAGCTGACGTTTCAGGCCGGGACCCTTCTTCAAAAGATGGGTCCCGATCCAAAATTTCAGCTTTCCTGCTCCTCTGATGCTGCCTGGGCTGCTGTGTTCATCCAGCTCCACACTGTGTTATCAAGGACACTCTCCCTGGCGTCTTGGTCAATATTTATCTCTCAAGAATTGCACAAACATACTTTTTTTGCTGTTTGTGGGAGTTTGCACTAATTGGCTGTTGTATCCCCTATAACTGTGACTACAATTCAGAAAATATACTTCACTGGTTGTGAAGTACTTTCAGATGTCAGTGGTTGTGAAGAGCGATATATAATTACAAGCACTTCTTTCATTTACCTGCAGTATAACACAGTGACTACTGCTTGTGATTGGAACTCGACACCATGCCTTGAGCACGTAAACCCTTCAGCAAACTTTCAGTCACCAGAAAAGACTTTCAAGAGATGAAACTGGATATGAATCATTAGGTTTATTAACAACAGTGTGTGAACATACAGAGCAGGAGTTATGGACATACATCATTTATTTCATTCGATTGCAAGGAAAAAATAGCAAGACCCTCCTTTCCTTTTTGTCTTTTGGATTCTTTGCAACTTTTAGCTACAAAACTTTGCTGCACACTGACTTCCAACTCTGGCTGCAAGTCTGTACTCTCCTAGAGTCCTGTTTAACAACAGAAAATGTTTCCTCTTTGCTGGGAATTTTTTCACTAGAGTGTAGGAAGTTAAGGGGTGACTTTATAGAAGTTTATAAAATAATAATGGTTATAGGTAAGGTGAATGGCAGGTGCCTTTTCCCTCGGGTGAGGGATTTCAAGACCAAGGGGCATATTTTTAAAGTGAGAGGAGAAAGATTTAAAAAGACATGAGGGACAACGTTTTTACACAGAGAGTGATTCATGTGTGGAACAAACTTCTAGAGGAAGTGGTGGATGCAGGCACAGTTACAATGTTTAAAAGACATTTAGATAAAGACATCAATAAGAAATTTTGGATGGAAAGAGGCCAAGTGCAGGCAGGTGGGACTAGTTTAGTTTGGGATTATGGTTGGCATGGACTGGTTGGACCGAAGGATCTATTACGAGTTGACCTGTCAAACAAACCTGATTGCCCCCCAGCCAGCACCCAATCCAAGGGTCACATGAATAGGTGCTTATGCACTCTAATTCCAGCAAATGTTTAATTGGGATGGCTGAGGCTTAGTCAGCTTTTTCCATTGTCATTGAAATCTGGACTGTTTCTTCTCAAAACTTTCCAGTCACAAGTTCCCATTTTACAAGATCCCAAATCAAGTCTTGGGATGGCTTTTAAGAAAATCCCATGCTACCACATGGTGTATTCCTCCACCAAAAACCTGTTTACTGTTAGATGCAACACCAAATCAACTGTCAGAAGGTCCAGGGAACACCCCCGTGCCCCCCACAAACCCCCCTCACAACAACCCCGCCAAAATAACCCAGAAATAAATAACCCAAAAGTCATGAATCACATCGCACCTACACAGGGCTCGGGCACAAACTCCCCTCTCTCTCAAATCGACACTGAGGATCACACAGGTTCTATTTAGCAAAGAAAGGGGGTGTCAGAACCAATTTATATCCCTCAAGTCACAAAATTATCTGACAGTATCATGCAGCTATTTCTGGGATCTTCCTTTGCTCTGCTGCCATGTTTCCTGCAGTGCGAAAGGACTTGGAAAGGACTTTGTTGGCTGTGGAATGCTTTGGGACATCCTGGGGTCGTGAAAGGTGCTATATATAAATGCCTTTATTTTATTTCCCATATTCATCCCGTGTTGTTCTGGAAAAGGGGCCTCTATCCTCACGGAGGCAGCAGAGTGTTGCAACAACATCCTCCCCCACCCAAATGACAGGATACAACGGCTCAGTAAAGACCGACTGGAAAGTGTGGATCGGAGTCATGGTATCGGTGATGCCGTAAAACGTCAGGGTCCCAGCGGTGTAGTCCAGGTGGACCCCAATCCGACTGTAGGCTGCTGGTTGCAGTTTGACCTCCTGGTTGGCGTGCCAAGCCGAATAGCTCTTGTCGAAGAGTTGCAGGGCCCAGGAGACACTGTTCCTGCCGATCAAGGCGGAAGCATCCCGTCTGCTGATTTTTCTGTAAGTAACTCCGAGGTAGACCCACTGACTGCTGATCAGCACCTCCCAGTAATGCTGGCCACTGCTGAAACTCTCACGGCACATCACCTGCCACTCCTTCTCAAAGCGGTCAGTGTGTATCGGGTATTTCTGCGTGTCCTTGTGGGAAACTCGACGGTTACCTTTGGAGAGGGAGAGGAATCGGTGTGCCGTGTTGACATCAAAACTCAGCTGCGAGCACCCTGCAGAGACAGACAGACGATTGGGAACTTGTATAACTGTGCAGTCAGTAATGCTCCACTCTGCTCTGAACAAACAGTAACGATGGGTATAGATAAGGTGAACGGCAGGTGTCTTTTCCCTAGGCTGGGGGATTTGAAGAGTGGAGGCATACAATTAAGGTGAGAGGAGAAAAAATGTAAAAAGACATCGGGGACAATTTTTGTGTGAGTGGCTTGTGTGTGGAGTGAACTTCCAGAGGAAGTGGTGGATGCGTGTACAGTTACACTGTTTAAAAGAAATTTGGATAAATTCATGAATAAGAAATGTTTGGAGGGATATTTGCCAAGCGCAGGCAGGTGGAACTACTTTAGTTTGGGATTATAGTCAGCGTGGACGGGTTGGGCTGAAGGGTCTGTTTCCATGCTGTGTGACTCTATAACTCGGTACAGTTTGTGACTGGGGAGACACAGAGGTGGTAGTAATGTCACTGAATTAGCAATCCAGAGGCTCAGGGATATGGTTCATATCTCCCTACAGCAGCTGGCAGAATTTAAATTCAATTAATAAATCTGTAACTGAAAACTAGTTTCACTGGCAAGTACCATAACGCAATCATCTCACAATCTGTCTCGCTAATATCCTTTAGGGAAGGAAATCTTCTGGCCTTAATCTTGTCTGGTCTACATGAAACTTGCAAACCACTCAGCTCAAGGGCATTTAGGGATGGTCAACACTTGCTGGTATCACTAGAAACATCCACCTCCCATGAAAAGATGAAGAAATAAACTTTTACCCTGAATAAACAGTGACCCTATACAGTTACACAGAACGTGACCCTTATTCTGCTGAATAACGAGAACGTTTTATAGATCTGCAATCACAAATGTTGGGAAGTGCATTTCTGAATTCGGAAGACGGGTATTAGCTGGATCTTAATGCTACAACATTTATGTGGAATACTCGATCAGTGTGGAAGTGAATAATTTGCACTCACACTGTAGGAATGGTTCTCTGATGTGCAAATTCACTCGGAGTGGCTGAAGTATGACAGGTTTCACAGGATCACCTTTGTCAGTCGAAACGGACTCTGTACCAAAAAGATTTGTTACAATGATAAAGGTCACTTTTACAGACACGCTAACTAGCCCTGTACATTGTGTGTGCAGTGAAATCCCGAGCACACAAAGCAGCAGCACAAATTAAATCCAAGCAAACACCTACTGAGATCATGCCTTGACTTTATGTCTACCATGGATATTTACGCAACATTTGTCCCCAAATTTTAGCATAAAATACATATTCATAAGGCACCTTTAATATAATGAAACCATACTACTTATGACCGTTATTAAATAAAACATGGCCCACAGCCACACAGGGAGATGTGATCAAACTTTTGTTCAAAGTGGTAGGTTTTATGGAGTTACTTAGAGGAGGAAAGTGGGCTAGAGAGGCAGACAGATGTAGGGAAGGAATTCAGAGCTCAGAATGAGGTAACCGAAGGCACAAACGCTTATGGTCAAGCCATGCTCAACATTCAACAATGAGAGGAATGACAGATACATTGGAGGATTGTGAGCTGGAGGAGATTCGTCGTTTGTTGGCTGCCCCTAAGGCAAAGGTGATGTCTCCTCAGGGTCATGACCTTCTATCACGGGTCTTCATGTTAGCATACAGGCTGATTCTTGACCTACTGATATTTGGGCTAGGACATCCCACAAAGGAGTGAGATCAGGACTTCAGGACTTGCTTCCTTCTTGGTCATGGTTCTGCCTCATCATTAAGGCTCTAAACATTTAGTCATTTAGAAACATAGAAAACAGGAGCAGGAATGGGCCATTCAGCCCTTCAAGCCTGCTTCACCATTCAATGTAATCAGGGCTGAACATCCAACTCAAGCCCCTGTTCCTCTTTCTCCCCATATCCTTTGACCCCTTTAACCCTAAGAACTGTATCTAACTCCTTCTTGAAACCATTCAATGTTCTGGCCTCAACAACCTTCTGTGGCAGAAAATTCCACAGACTCATCACTCTCTGGATGAAGAAATTTCTCCTTATCTCAGCACAAAATGGCCTAATTTGTATCCTTAAACTGTGACCCCTGGTCACTGGGAACATCCTGCATTTATCCTGTCTAATCCGGTTGGAATTTTATAGATTTCTATGAGATTGTTTCTCATTCTTCTAAACTCCAGTGAATATAGTCATAACTGATCCGATCTGTCTTCATACATCACTGCTGCCACAAGAACACAAGAACTAGGAGCAGGAGTACGCCGTCTGGCTCTTCGAGCCTGCTCCGCCATTCAATAAGATCATGGCTGATCCTTTCATGGACTCAGATCCACTTACCCACGTTCTCACCATATCCCTTAATTACTTTATTGTTCAAAAAAATTCTACCTTTTTTTTAAAAGCATTTACTGAAGTAGCGTCAACTACTTCACTGGGCAAGGAATTCCATAGATTAACAACCCTCTGGGTGAAGAAATTCCTTCTCAGTTCAGTCCTAAATCTGCTCCCTCTAATCTTGAGGCTATGCCCTCTTGTCCTAGCTTCACCTGCTAGTGGAAACATCCTCTCTACTTCTATCTTATCTATTCCCTTCATAATTTTATATGTTTCTATAAGATCCCCCCTCAATCTTCTGAATTCCAATGAATATAATCCCAATCTACTCAGTCTCTCCTCATAAGCCAACCCCCTCAACTCCGGAATCAACCTAGTGAACCTCCTTTGCACCCCCTCCAGTGCCAGTACATCCTTTCTCAAGTAAGGAGACCAAAACTGCACACAGTACTCTAGGTGTGGCCTCACCAGCACCTTGTACAGCTGCAACATAACCCCTCTGCTTTTAATCTCAATCCCTTTAGCAATGAAGGACAAAATTCCATTTGCCTTCCTAATTACTTGTTGTACCTGCAGACCTACCTTCTGTGATTCATGCACATTATTCATTCATTGGTAATTTTATTTCTGTCATTGTGAAAGTATGGAGAACTGCAAAACTGTAAATCATAAGTAAAAGTAGATTATTCTGGGAATACACTGGCCAGTTTGCATCATAGAGTGCAGGACACACACCCAAACCATCAAAACCCCATTTTATATTGCTCATCATCACTGAGTCACCACCACACTTTCTCAGGAATTTCTCATTTCACCTGTACAGCCACACTGACTCCCAAAGTTACTTGTTTTGATCTTCTAGTTTTTCCTTTGAAGGTTATTAAATTTAAAATTCTCATCCTCGTGTTCAAACATCTCTGGTCCTCAATCCCCCTGCAGCTTTCATCAGCCCTACAGCCCTTTGTGACTCTACATTCCTCCAATTGGCATTGTCCCCATTTCCTTCGTCCCTTCAACCTTGACTATACCTTCATTCATCTTCATCACAATTTCTGGAAGTTGCTCGCTAAAATGCTGTGCCTCTCTCTCCTCTACTTGAATGATCTGCCTGACCACTTCTCTCTTGGACCATACCCCCCCGCCCCCACACACCACCTTTTTCCATCTGTGGCTCGGTGACAACACTCCTACAAAGGGCCTCGGGACAACTTTCACATTAAATGTGCTACATAAAGGCAGGTTGTGACTTGCTATATGCAGCTGACAGAGCGGTTGGGACTTGATGGAGAGGGTGTGGTGCATTTTGCCGTTGGAGGGCAGGGCGAAGGATGAACCTCCCAAACAGAGAGCAGTTATGGCACCCTAAGGGGCCAATTAAGGGAATGATCCCATTGTTTCTGACCTTTAACCTCTGCAGCTTTGGGGAGCCAGCTTGGAGGCATTCACAAGGTGAGCTTGGAAGGAATGAGGCATGAGGCCCATTCCAACAACCAACTGCAACCCCAACCCCCCCACCCCCTCCCCAATCACCTAGCATTACCCTACTGAACCCCCACCCTACAGAACCCCTATGATCTGACCCCCTACTGAAACACTCTCCACTGACACCCCATCACCGACCCCCTACTGACCCTATCCCACTGACCCAACTCTCCACTAACCTCCCCCACTGAAAAGCCCTACCACTGACCCACCCACTGACCCTATCCCACAGACCCTATCCCACTGTCCCCACCCACTGACCTCCCCAACTGAACCCCCTACCACTAACCCCCACATACCAAATCCCCATTTACCCTATCCCATTGATCCAACTCTCCACTGGCCCCCACCCACTGAAATCCCCTACC